GGATCTGCTCACAGTTACCCATGCCCTAGTCACCTCCCGTATGGAGTATTGTTAATACTCTTTACGTGCGGCTGCCCTTGAAGAGTATCCAGAAGCTTTAACTGGTGCAGAATGCAGCAGCGTGGACAGTTATGTGTGCCCCTAAGAGGACACACGTTATACCTCTGCTTCATGAGCTGCACTGGTTGCCAGTTTGCTTCTGGGTCCAATTCAAGGTGCTGATTTTGACCTTTAAAGCCCTACATGGCATTTGGCCAGGTTCCAGATTATATCTACCTGTCCTATCAGGTCCGGCAGGAGAGGCATGTCGCAGGTCCCGTCTGTGAAAGAGTTCCATCTGACGGGACCTAGGAGACGAGCCTTTTCTTCCGTGGCCCCTGCCCTCTGGAACATCAGCCCTCCCAAGGTAAGATTAGTCCCAACCCTTATTGCCCTCCAGAAAGCCCTTAAAACATGGTTTTTTCAACAGGCCTGGGCCCTGGTGGTAGGGAGCCCATGCGTTGGCTACATTATATATGATTTTCTCCCTCTTGTGGTTTTGTTTTTATCTGTGTTTACTGTTTTAATTGGTTTTAATTGGTTTTGTAGTGGTTTTAATAGTAGGTTTTATTGTACCTGCCCAGAGTCACTTTGTGTGAGATGGGCGGCCATATAAATTTGACAAACAAACAAACAAATGAGAACCAAACACATTCCTATTGCTACCAGACAGATATTTGTTTAGCTCTAGCAAGGTGCCTGCATTATGTGGTCTTAAACAATTCCAAAACCCATTTGTAATAACTAAATACTATCTAAATTTTGTTTACAGATGGACAGATGGATCACTGTTACTGTACCAGAACTGGGCAGGAGATAAAGAGAGACCAAAGCCAACTCAAGGGCCAAAATGTGCTTTTATTTCTTCCCGGACAGGTATATGTTGTATGTGGTCCTTATTATTTTATGAAACATTTGATAAAGTTCCATAAATTCATTATGTTATTTTATTCCAAATCATCTTTGCCTGTTGGCCTAGATAAGAAACTTCTAATAGTATTGCAATATTTGAAAGGCACTGAAAACTTGGTTTTTCCACCAGACATTTGCCCAGGCTGTTGGGTGAGCCTGCATGGTGTTGTAGTGTATGTTTTTGAGTCACTCCAAGTTTGTTATGCTATTTTTTTAAATTTTAAATTGTTCTTTTTGACTATTGGTTTTTTTGATTGATAATTGCACAGAGTTGCACGTTAAGGGGGTGGCCATATAAATTTAAATAAATAGATATTTAATTGAAATTATCATGAAAAGTATTTCCAGATTGTGCAATTTTTTATTATGGGGAACATTTCTTAGCTTTATGATGTATGCATTTCAATCCTGTTTTTCTGCACTGGGGAGTTTTTTATTTGGTTGTTCTTAACACAAGAGCTTCATTTATCATCCAGATCTCTACCTGTTAACGAAAGCTATCAGCTTGTGTGTGTATCGTCTGTGTGTATCTATGTTTGTACTACAATAAATACTTGCGTAATGGCTGCTAGGAGTCTTTGAATATATTTTTATTTATATCAAATTTGTCACCGCCCATCTTGTTGAAACAACTCTAGGCAGATATCATGCTCCAAATACTTAATTTTAACAAGAATGCCTTGCTGTCTTTTATAGTACTGAGTATGACATGAGAAATTATTTCCCTGCAATAATATTGCCTGCACTTAGAATTGTAAACATCCCCTTTCTCTTGTTTTTCTTGTGCTTCATCCAAATCTGCCTTGGAGGATCCCTGCGAAGTAAATTTAAGTCCATTCCAATCCAATTAGCCAAGGGAGAGGGGTGCTCAGCATTCAGTTCCCACAAATCATATTGGACATTATTTGATTAAAATATTGATTGCTTTTATTTCATACTGTACAGCAGGAGGAACCCAGGAAGTAATACAAGTAGCATTGTCCATATGGAATGGATCATTGTTTTTTGCCAGAAGCATGTTTGAACTTTTAAGGATATATTCTGGGTGCGTCATCCAATGGCTGTCAAAGCCAACGAGTCCTCCAGATGCTCTCTCTCTCTGTCATTCCTGTGGAACCTTTGGGTGGCCCAAAGGCGTTACTTGAAATAGATGGGATGCTGGAAGTTTCTGCTTTGCTTTGCAGTATGCCGGCTTCGTGTTCAGCTCTCTTTGTTCAATATAATATTTTTTAAAAGTTAGGACTTTCTATGAATTGTTTTAGCCCATCGTGTGATCTAATGTTGCAAAGAGTTTTGCACAATATGAATTCCAGCTTGTGGTTTGTTTTTACTTCATTCTTCTCTACTTTACTGAACTGAGAGCACAGTTAGTTCTTGACAGGTAATTTTATGAAACTCCAATTCTTATAGTGCCATCCTCACACTTGGAGAAGTTATGTTTACACCTTTGTAATGCATTAACTGCAAGAAAGGGCTTCCTGGAATAAATTCAAAGATGCTGAAGGTTAGCAGGTACAAAACATTCAGACACTAGGAAAGGTGCATCTTGAAAGATGGTCAGGAAATGCAATACAGGTGGTCCTTGCTTACCGACCACTCATTCAGCGACTGTTCAAAGTTGCGATGGTGCTGAATGAGTGGTACTTATGACTGGTCCTTGAAGTTGCAGCACCCCCATAGTCATATGATCGCCATTTGCAACCGTCCCTGATAGCTTCCCACAAGCAAAATCAATGGGGAAGCTGGCAGGGAAGGTCGCAAGTCGCTGTAGTAAATGCCCCCCCCACCTGCCATCCTGCACTCATGCTGACCCGTGGCCTCCTTCCCCTGGCCTCCCTCCGCTCACACCAAGCCACAGCACCCCTCCCCATCTTACATATGGCCTGCGCCAAGCCTCCCAGGGCCTCCCCCCCTGCAGTACCCCCATGCTTCTTACCTGGGACTCCCTCCACTTCCTGCTTAATGACTTGTTACGACAGCAACCTGGACTGCCCAGGATTGCCGTCACTAAGTGATCCAAACATGTGATGTCCTGCTTTATGACTGCATTGCTTAGCTACAGCAATCCAGGTCCCAATTGCCATCGTAACCCAAGGAGTACTTCTGTGTTAATTTAAATAAATAATGAGTCATCTTACATTTTCACTGACTGTTATGGGAGTATGGCTTATTACATTTGAAGCTGTCCTGATAGGAATACACTTCTCAAAAATTGTTGCCCATAAATTATAACTTATTTAATTATATAGGAAATATACTTAATTGGTCAGTGTTGTTATGCCTGTATTTACAGTGTAATTTTAGTTTTATTAATTACATTATTGCATCTCTTAGGACAATGGGGCTTTGCAAATTGTACCATTTCTCTACCTTGTATCTGCAAACGTAAAAATATACAGATTACTGAGAGAGAAATTCTGAAAGAAGAACATCAAGGAACTTGTCCTAAAGGGTGGCTGTACTTTGGATTCAAGGTACTTGCTGGTTTAAAGAAAAACCTTCTAGAGCTTCTAACCCTAATCTTAACCTGAACTGCAGTCATTGAGCCAAAAATGGACTACTAGTCCAAAAAACCACATCTACTTCATTCTAAAGTGACAATTTAATGTTACTGTGAAAATCCCAGATGATAAAATGTGATTCTCATTGTGTCCTAAACCTCAATAGAAAGAAAGCATGCATGGATGAACTGTAGAGATGCTACTATCCCCAATCTCAAGGGATAAAAATGGCTGTTTGTACTTAATGGCTATACTTAAAACAACCTTGTATTTAAGGAATCCTATCTTAGCTTAAGATACAAACAAGGCTTATCTGAGCAGACAAACATCTGGAAGCTGCATTTGTTAACATTTACCATTGTTTGACCCAGAAAACCCAAAACTATAGCTAAATATCCTGATTTCTTTAGATGCTATTAAACATAATTTTCCAGTTAAGATATAATGAGAAACTATAAATACTCATACAAATAGAAAAATAACATAGGATGCAAGAAGTTCATTGGATAGAAGATTTATTTGTTCATCAGTACAGTCTTTCACAGCCAGTATCAATCCAATGGTGATGAGATTCTGGGCTCATAAGCTTGGCCTAATTATCTGATACCCTGACACTTCACCAGCAACCATGGCTGGCATCTTCAGAGGCAAAGTAATCTGCTCCATAGTATGCTTCTTAGCAGCTCATAGACAACTGAGCAGGAACTCTGAGCTCTTGTATCTGTAACCAAACTAATCTCTAATTGGACCATGTCACTAGAATTCTGCAAAGCTGATTTCCGATTGGTTCTTCATCCAGGTGAATTTGTAATTGGTCTGATTTGAAGAAGTTTCAAAGGAGCTAATTTTTGATTCCTCAAAACAGGCTACTTACTACTACTACTTATTATTCTTTCAGGTGAGACTGTTGTAGATTCTACATGGCATTGGTAAATGAGGGGCTGTTTTATTTTGGTGTCATGTAAAACTAGAAACCAAGCTTTGTTAACCTTCAAACTCTTCCTTCTTGTGGTGTATTTATAAATCTCAGTAGCTTCCTTGTGTAGTTTTGCATGATGATTTGACATGATGGCTAGTACTCGCGTGTCTTTATTGAATCTTATGCCCATTATGTAGCAGCACATGCTCAGCTACCACTGATTTTTCAAGTTGTCCTAGCCAGTAATATCCTTCATGTTCTTTTAGTTGAGTCTTAATACTGTGTCTTTTAGTTCCAGTATATAACTGCCTGCAGCTGCAAGACATGCAATAAACCCCTGATGATGATAGTGGAACTCTCCCATCCTTAGGTGATCAAATCATTTCTTGGATTTTTCTGGTTGGTTTGTAGATAGTCTTAAAGTTGCATTTCTCCAGTAATTTTCCAAGTTGGTCTGTAATCTTCTCAGTGTAAGGGAGAAATACCTTTCCTGCTAGGGGTGGTTTGTCATTAGCTCACTAGATGGATGGATACATTGATATTTTTATTGCTGGATTGCATCAGTTATGTATAAAGTGTTGTCGAGGTATTTCAACTCATTGGATAATCTTTCAGGCTCACAAATACATCTAGGCATTTATTTTTTTCAGTCGGTAAGGCTGAAATGGAGACCACAAATTACCTAGCACACAGACTCAGAGGTAATCTCCCTGGGGATATATTGGATGAGATTACCAGCCCAATGTGTGTGCCATTTTTTTTTTTTTTTGTATTCTTCAGCTAAAGATACTGACTGGGTTCACATTGTGTGGTGCTAGCCATAATTGACTTGTTTAGTTTTAGTTTAGTGCATGCAGTGAACCCTGTCATTGTGACTTGTAACCCATGGTTTATGATTTAGACTGTTATGTGCATCTAACCAATTAAAGAGACCAGTCACAGTTGCTGACAAAATGTTAAGATACCAGATAATTAGACCATGGTCTATTAGCCCAGAAGCTCATCATTGAATGTGTTTATTAGATTTATATCCTGCCTTTTTATTTTGTACAACTCAAGGGAACATACATAATGTTCCCTCCTCCAGTTTTCCCCACAAGAAGTCTGTGAAGTATCATTTGAACCCTAAAAAAAGAACATCTGCTTAGGATCTATGATCAAATAATTGTAGATGATCCTGAAAGCAAGGCAAGGATGTAGAGTAATATAATTATTCTTTGCTAAATCCAACAAGATATATATAAGTGTCTAAGTGTGGTAATGCTGTGCTAAACTATGCTGGATGCTTTTTCATTTCCATTAATTATCTCCAATTTTTACCTGTTGTTATGTGGGTTATATTCAAAAGAACAATAGAGACTTCAGATTTTAGTTGGTCCTTGGCATTTTACCATTCTGGTGAATGCAAATTTTGTCATTTGGCATAATAGATGATTAATGAAAGTGGATGTGCATCTGTTAGGATCATTAGTAAATGAAAATTCAAACTTATTTTTTGATGTAAACTAGTTTGGAATAATTTTTTATTAAGGTTAATACTATTAAGGTTAATACTAAAGTAAGTGAAAATAAATGTGATCCCATTTTCCTTTGCCTTTTCACATCTGCCTTTATGGTCTTAGAGACAGCAGTTAATAGTACCATATAAATGACAGCCAACAGCAGCTATCCAACAAGCCTAGCCAAGTTCTCTTCTGTTTTTACTACATCCTCCCAGGAGCTCTGCTTAATTCCCTTGTCCCCGTCTATCAGTATCCAACAGAAGTTTCACTAGAAAATGGCCTCTTTTTAAAAATTCTCTGATTGTCTTCCTGAGTGTTCTCAATTGTCCATTATATTTATAAATTGTAGTTTATTTTATGTTTTGTTTTCTCTTTTCCAATTAATGTGCTAACCTGTGTGGTCTATCACTTCTTTTAACTCAGCTTCTTCATTCTTTCCAATCTTACCCTTCATCCAGTCTTGGAAATAAAAATTTGTCTGGGTGACTCGTGACTATCCTAAAATTTCCAATTCAATCCTTCTCTCTGTAAATAGTGTTTCCTGGTGCAGATTCCAAAGGATCCAGGCCATTTGAAAAGTTGGTATTCTGCTCAAAAAATCTGCAGCTACTATGATGCATCACTTGCTTCAGTTGAAAATGAAGTTGAACAAGGTACCATACTATGTTACACCTTTATCAAAACATGTTATAAATATGTTTCTTATGAATATTGCATATTTTATGAGTAGGATCACATCTATAACCAATTATATTTAAGGCTTTTGGTCTTAAATGCAATGAGGTTTTGTAAGACTTAATAGTTATTCCATGTGTATTGGACATGAGTAAAAGTGAGAGGATCCAGAATAAGACTATTTAAATGCTTCCCTGAGTTTTCTATTGTAGATTTATGCCCTGCAATTGAACATTTATTACCCTTTATAGAAGACTCGATATAATTTTCTATCAGAAAAAAAACAAAAGGCTAGATCAGATAACTTTACTACTGTACTTGTAACTGGCTGTAAAATACCATTGCTCAACATTTAGATAGAGCCAAAAGTATTTTCATTGCAGCTATAAATTGATTTTAACTACAGAAGAAGAAAGTAATGCTGTAAAACACATGTATATTTGCATTTTATAAGGTTATTTAACATTGGATAAATTCCTGCCTCTTTGGACTAGGAAGATCTAAACCCATTTCCTGAGATTTAAGACCTCCCCTTGATAACCATCACAGCTGAAACCATTTCCTGAGACCTCAAGCTTAATATCCATTTTTTTTTTTCTAACTTGGAAAGCATAGCGTTTCCATAGAATTCTTTAAGAACTTTGCAGGGAGTGACACTAAATAAAATGCTAGAAAGACAAATAGTGTGGAAGTAGTATGGAAATAGTACTTGAAATAGTATGGAAGTCCTAATTTGAGGTGGTTTGGTCATGTAGAGAGAATGAATGAGGATCAAATCTATCTATCTGTCTGTCTGTCTGTCTGTCTGTCTGTCTGTCTGT